ATAGAAGTTTCATGTCAACATCCCTTTCATGGATGCAATCTTTCAAATCCTAAACTACACCAAGTTTTTGAAGGAGATGTTGACCAAAAAGAGGAAGCTACCCAAGCACAAAACGATGGCACTATTTGAAAAGTGCAATGTGATCATCTAGCACAAGATCCCTCCCAAACTAAAAGATCCAAGAAGATTTACTTTACCTTACTCTATAGGATTACATAATATACATTATTTGATTGATTTAGAAACAAAAATAAATCTAATTCCTTTACCTCTTTACAAGAAATTAGGATTGAGAGATCCTACAGTAGCCTTTATTATCCTTCAACTAGTGGACAGATCGCTAAAACATCCATACGAAATAGTCGAAGGCATAGTTATCAAGGCAGAAAAGTTTATTTTTCTAGTTGACTTCGTCATTCAGGTCGTAAAAGAGATATATCAGATACCAATAATCCTTGGAATGCATTCTTGTCTACAAGTCTGGTCTTGCTGGATTTTGCTACAAATGAGACAGTCCTAAGGGTAGAGGATAAGTAGCAGAGTTTCTACATGGAAAATCCAATCAAACAATCTTTCTACTTTGAGGATTGCCAATGAGTGGACCATTGGGAAAGCTACAAGGGCAAGCCACATAAAAGTGGAATTGTTGATAGGGATTACAATGGAAACTTGATTGTGTGGAGAGTCAATAATGAAATGAAGAAGTACAACCAGTGTCTAAAATATAGGACTGGGAATTCCCTTTTCAAGCCACCAAAAGAGTTTAAAAACAACATGAGTCGAGCTAAAGACTTTAAACAAGCTCTTGTTAGGAAGAAATCCAACACTTTTATCCCTTTTATTTATTCTAATTTTTAGGTTTAGAATGACTTAAGATAATTTAGATTAGTTTTTATTCAATTTTAGGGACTCATCATCCACACCCTATTTCACCTCAAGTACTCGATATGTTAGTTGATTTGTTAGATATTTGAGCTAAATACCATTTGTTTCAGATATTTGATCTTTAATGTTTTATTTAACCACATTGTATAGAAACATGACGTCAGAGAACAATTAAACCAATTTTGACCAAGGAGACAAATAAAGCAATGAGACAAGCTAGCCATTGGGTTTTATCAGAGGAATATTTTCTTCATTTTCTTCCCACCCCTTTATATACGAACTTGGATTTAAGACATTAAGAACAATGTTTAGTTTATGTTTGGAGTGGAAAATATAAGTTTTTCTTTGTTTTATGTGTTTCTGTAATTGTTCTGTTGCTTTAGATATTAGAAAAATTAAAAAAAAATAAAAATTGAATATTTTGAAAAGTTTCAAAAAAAATTTCTTTTTGTGTAGTTGCTTGAGTTTTTTGGCATGATTAGCAATAGGAATATATTGAATTATGAATTAATCTCTGAATCGTGAATAGGTTACATGTTTAGGTTAATTTTTGCTTTTTTTTTGTGAGGTTTGTTATATATTGAGCACATGAATTAAGTTTAGCATTGTGAAAGAATAAGTTGATTTCATAATTGGAAGGTTGAAATAGTGAACCATAGATACTAAATCCAAAACCACTATCTTTTACATCCTTAGACCAAATTTAGAATAGTTTAAGGGATTTCAGGACAAACACATATGATGAAAAATGTCATGTGGTATGATAAAATTAAATTTGTTCATTTATTGTAAAATTATATTCACTTCATCAATATAATCCAAATAATTATGAGATATGAAAATGTGTCAACCATGATGATCAATCATATCTTTCATTTTATTCTTAAGTTAATATAAATTGAAAACTCCTTTTTGACTTATGATCACACCTTGGCCAAGAATTTCGTTCTTAACTTAACTAAACGAAATGCAAATCATAAACTCTTTCTATCTTAGAGTGAAGGATCCTCCATTGAACATTCACAACCTTCAAATGATTCTTAACGTAATTGAAGTATATCTATCCCTATGTAAGGCACTATAATGTCTTTAAGTCAAAGGACCAATTTTACTATCGAATATTAGAGATTAACCACTGACATTAAAATAATTATCTATGTAGAATCTCCCTAGCAGTTTTCCAATATTTTGTTCTTCCAAAGAAATATTCACGTGTCCATTTAAATGTCACTACATTTAACTTGTGAAATTAGCTACTCACTTCACCAGTGACAAATGCCATTCGTGTAGGTCTAACTGTAATAATAATATCTGTATCTCGTTATTACTCATAACCATGGATAATTTAAGATTAGTCAAATGTAAATTTGTTCTCACTATCACAACTCCTTGTAATTAACAAATTAATAAAACTTAAATTTAAGAACTTTATTAATATAATTTATCAGAATAGTAATTTAATTGAATAATAGATAATGCCAAAAATAAAATGCATTAATCATATTAAAAATATTTTCAACCTAAAACCCATTTAGTTTATTAAAGCACACTTTTTCCCCCCTTTTAGTAAGTTTTTGATAGTGTCACTAAAGTTACTAGGATTGGAGGCATCAAATAAACGATAATCATTTAAAGATTTGTTACAATACTTTGGCTCGTTTTGGAACAAATATTGAGAGAATTGTTTTTGTGAATAGAGCTTTCTTTTTTGAAACAACGAATTCAAGAAAAGTTATTAGTAAAATGTCGAATATTTGGATGACAATCTAAAACCCAATGTCAACATTATTTGATCTAACAGCATAACTATACAAGTGCTTTTATATAAACTACGTATTTGTTGACTAAATATTAGTATTTCCATTTATGACATATATTTCTTCCGTTATATTTATTTCATATCCATTAAAATTATAATTTCAATTATATTATCATAAAATTTTAATGAAGATTAAAAAAAAAAACTCACACAAAGAGCAACGAGGACTAAGTCACGTAAAAGATACACAAAATAGAACAAAATGAGGATTGAATCACAATATATGAAGCAGATATTTTCTTACCAAACTAGGAGCTTGTTTGGTACAACTTAAAAGTCAATTAAAATCAATTTTTTAATCATTATTTCACTATTTCAGTCATTATTTTTAAATTTTTCTCTTACAAGTAGGATCCACTTTATTTCTAACGATAAAAAAAGCAATTATCAAAATTTCTGCCAAACAAGCACTAGATATACTGAGAAGTTATGCCAAAGAGGTACATGTAGTAATTAAACCGCAGCAATCGGAATTTGATTACTTTACTATCATTTTCAAGTTCTAAAGGAAAATCATGTAAAACTATGATTACTTGAATTGAAAGAAAGAGAGAGAGCTGAAAATCATGTTAATATCCCGTCTGGTACCCAATTTTTTTAAAATGAATTTTTTTTCTCTTTTCTTTTCAACCACACATTTTTTATTAAAATAATATTACACGTAAATAAAAAAAAATTCCTTATTTTTTAATTACACATTTTTTATCAATTTACTATTTAAAAATACATTTTTACATAAAAATATCTTCCAAATGCCCTCTAAACATATTGATATCCAGAAATATATGGATATATTTTGAGATATAAAAGTTTTACAGCTTGTTTGGCCCCATTCTCATCCAATTTTTTCAAACGTTTTCGAACAACTGTGGGCCCAGGCAAGACAACATTCATGTTTCCTATGACAGTATGTCAGTAACTAACATAAAATGCCAGATAGCCTTGAAGTGACATTTACCATTTTTTACTTTCCATTAATACCCTTCGATTTCCAGTGGGTAGCTGGCACTTGTGTACATTTCCAATGAGCATCTGAGGGCAAAATAGGCATAACAGTCTCAACGGCATTATCCAATTTGTATCTAGTCTGTCACAATTCTGAATTCTTGTAGTGTGTTATTATGTCACTACTGTAGGGCATAGGAATTGGTCCAAAACAACTCATTAATATATAGAAATATTTTTAAGTTTAATCAAAATATTAACCAATATATACAGATTTGACTATTCCACTCGACAATATTGATCTTTTAATATGGACCACAAATATTAGTATGGTATCAACTCCATTAAATTGAAATAATAATTCAATTACATTAAAATTCAAACGAGCACACAAATTTCAAAATTAGTGTTCTCAAGCGAGTCGCAATTTTAATGGGACACGTAAAGAGTAAAATTCCACATCGAGAAAAGGATAAATAATAAATATTGTATAAAGGCTTGGGCTGCTCATTTTATAATGTTGACATTTTAAAATGAACCTCTATTAAATATCCACATCTAATACTCATGAAAATATTTCACCTTAAAATATCAATCTTGTTAAGAGATGAGTAATGAACCCTTATATTTTGGTCATATTTCGACATTTTATCAATATGAGGTTTATTTCTTAAATCCTCATTTGAGCACATCAATCCTGAAATATGTGTTTTTTTTTTAATATTTAATCGAATTGAATTGTTTGTTGGCTTGTAATGGACTCGGATATCATGATTCCATCTTAGAAGGTTAGCATTTTTAAGTAGAGTAACTCAAATTCATATATATTTTCCATATTTAGAGGTTTAAGCGATGTGAGAGTTATTCCTTAACAATATGATATGAGAGCACATTAAGCTCCAACAAGAAATTCGCTCCAATTAAGATTAAACATTCACACAAATATCAAAATTAGCATGCTTCAACGAGTCATTATCTTGCAGAGCATATTAAAGAATCACATCAAATAGTGATAGATACATTAATCAACATATAAGAGTTTGTGCTACTCCTTTTAGTTATTTCGACATTTTAAAATGAGATTCCAATTCTTAAATAATCAATGTCATGTAGCTAAAGCCCTTATAAATTGGTAAATGTTTGGGAATTCAATCGATATGTAATTTATTTTAAAAAAATTTTAGCTTCCCGTAAAAAGATGAATTTAGAGCTTTTTTTTATTGAAAAAACAAATTTTATCTTGAACGAAAACAACTACACTTTTAATTAAAAGAGCTTTTACCCTCAAAAGTACGTCGGGGTTTTAAAAAGGTCCAAACACACACACTTTCTAAAAGAAAGGTAAAAAGGGAGAATGAACACATAAACATTGCATTACATGAGAAATTAATATAAAAGTTTACACTAACAATTCATATTTAATGAAGGTAGAGTTATCGAGTGAAATGTTGCACAAAAACATCGGACATAATTAAACACAACCATTTATTGGAGACTCGACGACTGAAAAAGCATAAAAACTAACAATACAACCAACAAATAGCCAAAAACATCGGATATAAGTAAAAACTGGAGACTTCAGTTGAGGTTGCGCAGAATGATAGGGGCTCCAAACTGAGGCTGAAGGGTGAAAATCACATGTGGAGCGTGGATATAAGTAGGAGAAATCTCGAACGAGAAAGTGCGCAAAATGTCTACCAATACTAATTTGGCTGACAAAAATGCGAAGTTTTGACCGATGCACACACGGGGTCCCCAGCCGAAGGGAAAATATATAGGACGTCCTTTCGTTGCTTTTACAACTCCTTCGGAAAATCTGTGAGGATTGAACTCGTTCGCATCTTCACCCCAGTATTGAGGATCGCGATGAATTACAATTATTGGCAACATGACTTGTGTATCTGCTGGTATAGTGTATTCTCCTAATTGCATCTCTTCTTCAACAAGTCTAGAGAGCTCGACCACTGGTGGGTACAACCTCAATACCTCGTTCAAAATCATAGGTAACTGTAAAATAAGAAAAAATACAGATTGAGCAGGTGATGAGATTTTGCAGGATAAAAATATCTATGAGAAAAAGACGAACGAGGAACTTTTGTTAAGAACGATTATGCGACTCTAACACGGGCCTCGGACCTTGTTTTATCACTTGCTAATGTTAAATACCGATTGCAGTAATTCCTAACCAACGGTTTTCGTATTATCCACCAAGGTTCAAAAATAAGAAAAAACAAATATCAATTATAATTAAATTTTTTGATGCAAGTATGAAAGTATACTTACGACTTTGAGTTGACTTAACCCTTCATAATCTGCTTTACGATTTTCAAAAACCTTGAAAGCTTCTTGTCTGGCTTGCTCCTGCCAGTCTTGGTATTTTCCAAGCAAAATCAAACACCAGACAAGAAGAACTGCAATGGTGTCATGTGCATTAAAGAAGAATCCCTTCATAAGTCC